GAGAGGAGAGGAGAGGAGAGGAGAGGAGAGGAGAGGAGAGGAGAGGAGAGGAAAGGAAAGAAAGGAAAAGCCAAGCCAGATGTAGTGGTACATGCTTGTTATTATCCCAGTGCTGAAGCAGCAGAGACAGGAGGAGTCCTGCGTCTCACTGGTCAGCCATTCTAGTCTGTTGGATGAGACCCATGTCTACTGAGAGACCCTGTCACAAAACACAAGGTGAACACTTTCTGAGGAATGACATTAGAGATTGACCTCTGGCCTGCAGGCTCATGTATGCATGTAGGCACACATGCATGCATGCATGCATACACACACAAGTACACTCACCTATACACCTCTGCAACCATAGACACTTGAACATATATATGCATGCACAGAAATACACATAGAGAAAGTATTGATGAAAATGAAAATGTCTTTAAACTATTGTACAGATTGTAGGTATATCTCCCTCCGTTTTAAAGCCTGTTCTTGCTTTCCCATGAGCTCTATCTCTAAGACCCTCAGTTCTCTGAGCATCTCTTATATATCATAGTAGGAATAATCATTATATTTTCACCTCTCTTGAATGCATGCCAATATCAAATGCCTCTTGTTAAAAAAAATGCCAATAGAAGTAAAGAGGGCGACAAGGGAGAGTAGAACATAAAATAAAGAGTGTCTGGCCATGAATCTGCACTGCAGCCAACTCATTACTGTTCCTATCCCGGCACAAGAGTTTTCTTATTACCAATGCCCATGTCATTTACAAGTAAGGCTTAATGAACTGTAGCATATAGGGATAATCTTTTTAAAAAAGGCTGTCTTCTTAAAGTAGTAAATGATCAGAAGAATAAGGAATATATACCAATGATTTATTTTCCACTAATTGTATAACTAACTGATTAGGCTCAAGAAATGCCTTCTAAATCATCCAGTTTTGCTCTTCATTAACTGGAATGAATTATTACCTAAAATGAAATTGAAGATTTATCTGTGCTTTCCTTTTTCTTCCTACTCCCTTCCTCCTTCTCTTCCCCCTTCTGTTTTATTAGGACAGTGGGTAGCAAAATTGGGATATGTAGCCTGTGCATGCCTGGGACTCAAGGTCCTCCTTTAGCCTTCCAAATCTGAAGCATGCAGCCATTCTATCTGTGCCCTTACATTATTCATGACTCTACTGACACTGTCTCTCTAGAGATAGAAAAAGTTATAATGAGCCCTGTATATAATAAGCAAAATAAAAGACTTGCTTTATTGGTTATTGTTGTTTTGATACCATTTGTGGGTTATTCCTATTTGCATTCATTCTGAAAGGCAGCTGTAAAACAAATGACTGATAACTTATCTACATATATGACTAGTCCTGAAAAAATGTAAAGAATGGTTGTCAGGTCGGACAATTAAGTCCCTGTTGATAGTTCTTTTGGGCAAAGGTGAGTTCTGGTTAGAATCTGCAGTATTATGTCTTCAGCTTCCTTTGAGTCACATAGTTAGTATGGGAAGATAAGTCCAAGAAGATAGAAGGGAGGCCTTCACTCCATCTTCCAACTATGTTTGGTGTTATCTTCAGCAAGCTGCTTTATTATTCAGTTTCTTCCCCTGGGGAATCTAGGATGTCTTGGTTGATTCTAGGTTGGCCCATTCTGAGTAGCAGCTTTGCAATTCCGAATTCTTGGAATGGGTCTAAATGTGTAAACTGTCTGTTGGCAGCAAATTTTAAAAACACATCATTTTCTATGATTTTGAACTTAGGGGTGCTCTGAGTTGGCTGAAGCCAGACTGCCAGGTGTTAATATGGCATACAAAATGGGATAATTCTGGGAAAGAAACTGTCAAGCCAAAAATCAAGTAGAGTTCTGTGGTTTCAGAAGCAACAGTTTCTACCAAGAAAATGGCGATTCATGTTCCATGAGCACCAATAAAACATACTGAGGAAAGATCATAGTAGGCTGTTTTATAAAATAAGGTAAAATCTTATTTTCTTTGAAATTTCTCAGCTCAGTAACTAGGGTCTCAGATATTTCTTAGGCTTTGTCCTCATTAACAGGGTCAAAGGTTTATCTCTGTACATGTATGCAGATAATGATTTTTCACTCAGGTGTCTTTGTCAGTAGAGACACGGGGAGGTTCAGTGCTGAGGAGGTCAATGGAGACCAAAAATCCTGTAAAGAAAAAGTCAGCATCCAGCGAACATCACAGTGAGCTGGTCTATCATGTCCAGGCCAAGTGTGCAAGTGTTGGTCTATGTTCTCTGGATGCTGAATAACCTGATTTGTATTAGAAATCTCTACTTTCAAAATATAGGGAAAATAGAGGGATAATAATGACCCCTATGTGGAAAAGAAAATAAATCTAAACATTGGATACTTTGTGCTAAATTCATTTAAGACTTTAATTATCAGTTAAACTCATTTTCAGCCATAGGATCAGCTTGCCTTTAATTTCACCCTCCTGGGATATTCAAAACAAAAGGAACCTGGTTTTATAAGCATGTGCACACACATGTGTGCTTGTATATGTGTGTGTTTCTATATTCTTGACAATTTGAGTTCCTCCTGAAGAGAATGATCTGAAGGCATGAATGGGGTTTATGGGTAAAAAGTATGGTGGATTTCTCTACATGACAAGGTTTTGATTGGAAGTCTGCTAAACAAAATGTTAAGCTGCCCACAAGGTTGTAAATCCAGTCTGTAAGGAGGAAGGAAGAAATACAGAGCGCGACTGCAGTGCGTGTGTGTGTGTGTGTGTGTGTGTGTGTGTGTGTGTGTACAATGTTTGTGCGTTAGATGAGAAGCAAGGGCTGAGTGAAGCCCGAGAAGGAGGGGGTGACTAGTGTGATTTGTTTGGTGTTCTGAGCCAATAGAAACCCCAGCCTGTGATAATATCCCCATGCAGCGCCTAGAGGACTCAGTGCTGTCTCCAGCTCCTACATCTGCAGGCGCGGCTGGGACGCGCTCCGCCCTCGGCGCTCCTCTGTACTCTGCTGGGCTCTGCTCGCTCTGCGCAACCAAGCCGCTTCCCCGGCCTCCAGCAGAACCAGGCTGCGGCTGCCCCCGCACGATCCGGCGCACACCCGCTGTGGATCGTGTCATTCACAGAGAGGAGAGGGACAGGGAGACACACAAGGGAATCGAGGAAGAAGCTTCCATCTCGTCATTGCAGGTATGCGGCTTGTCATGACCTATCTGAGGCGCACAGGTTTCTGTCTTCTCCCTTTCCAAGGCACCTAGGGTAGATTCACGTCTGCCCGCGGGGCTGGTTCACAGAGAAGCGCCGAGTGAATGCCCTCTTGACTTCTCCTGGGTAGTTACACTGCTTCCGTGTGGCTGGGGCCACCAGGTGGATTCACCTATTGGATTCTGTGTAGGTGGAAAAGCCAGACCTTTAAACTTCACCGCGATCTTAAATAAATAAAATAACACCAGTACCTGCACACTGTCGTGCGGGTACCCCTTGGTGATCTGCATTATAATGATGACCACTCATATAATTGTCTAGAAAGCAGGTTTTGAATGTAGCTAGGCTACCTTATGTTCGTGTGCTCTCTCTAGCACCAGGAAGCCACAGAAGACTTGGTCATGGTCTTGAATTCCTAAGCATGTAGCCAAAGTGGATACATGGCTTATGGATGAAATATCACCACGTATTTAGGCTGTGTTTGAAGGAGAAAAAGAAAGAAGCGAGGCAGCAATTTAAAAAAAAAAAGGCAGTTGTCATATTCTTACCTTCATTGATGAATTAAAAATACATTTGTCTTTCACAACCCCTGACAGGATGAGTTCCAAACGCTCAAATTAGGTTAAAAGCATAATGAATTGATCCCAGTACTCAAGAGGCTGAGGCAGGAGGATTGTGGGTTCCAGGCCAGCCTGGGTTACACAGTTAAAACTATGAACTGAAAAACTTTGTACAAAATATAAACATTTTCACGCAATGAAATTCGTAGTTTGTACTTTTGTTTAATCGTCAAAGGTACAGATTTCTCCGTGTTTATTCTTGAGGTGAAAGGTGGGGGAGGGCAACAAAATAGCTATTTTCCTGGGATTTCGCCATGTTTGATTCACAATTTTGAAGTTGGTTATGTAATTTTTCCCCCATGTTGATTACTTATGATTAAATTAACGTTGCTTAATCAGTTCCATCTTCCCGGAAAAGCCAAAGGGACTGAGTAACTGTGATAAAGGACTGTCCTGTTTTGGACAGTCCTCAGGCCTTACCCTCTGGAAGAGGTGCTTTTTCTGGATTGGGGAGACAGAGTAGGAGTCTCTTTAGGATGTCATGTGGATAATCAGATGCAGAATCTGAGTAAGACTCTACTCAGTCAGCTCCTAGTATTTGCTGGTAGAGGCCCATTCATTGACAGTTCACTGCTGGCTCATCCCTCAGTGGTACCAGAGTTTCAGCACTGCCCTTATCCCAAATCTTGTGCCTGGCCAAGCAAGATAAGGAAGTAATAAGAAAGCTATTCACTTTGCATATCACCGTGGAGAGTTTAAATTGACCTATTTTCTTGTAATCAGATGACTGTGTTCTTTCGTCATTAGGAAGAATGCATGCGTCGTTCTGCATGGAGTTAGGAAAATGTCACATTTTTGCCCTTTGACTAAAGTGAGTGATCACACAGGACACTTTTAAAAAGTCTTGACAAGCAATAGCTGTGCTGAGTAAATGCTATGTTTAAGGGAGAACATGTTACTGTACTGTAACATGAGTACTGTAGAGAATTATATTTTATCTTTTGCATACACCAGATAAACTGATTGTAAGATGTTCACTAGTCATTGCATGCAACTCACCCAGCTTAAGTTTATTTGTAGTTACAACAGCTTACTACTAATAATATTACTATTAATTACTGTTGGGGTGTGTGTGTGTGTGTGTGTGTTGCATGTAAGGAGGTAATAGAAAAACTTTAGAGAACCACTTCTCTCCTTCCATAGTGGGATCTTGAGAACAAACTCAGACCATCAGGCTGGTACTGCCGAGCCATCCTGCAAGCCTGGAGAGTTTTGGTATCAGCATTTGTTTGTATTCTATAACTCATTTCCCCTTGCTGCTCAACTCCAAAGCCATGCTGGGTGTGCTGCATTGACCAAGTGAGAGCCTGCATACATTCATTTTGTACAGGTTGAGATATGTGTGGCTTTCAGATATATGTATATATCTGGATGGAGATACAGGTATAAACATACACAGTGTTTTGATTATTCACTGTTTTGTGCTATCATTTTTATGGAGAAAAGCATTCCAAGGCTCATTCTCTTTACACCTCACAATATCGAACCAGAGATCTAGATTTCCTCCAAGTATGTATTGGTATAATTTAAACAAATCACATGCCTTCAAGTATTTAAAAAAACCTCCATCTTAGCTTTTGATTCGAGAGAATGGTGCTGTATCCTGAGTTGGGTCCTGGGTTCTATTGATATGAGATTGACTATTCCCTGATTCAAGGGAAAACCATGATGGACTGCAGTCGCAGTCTCCCGGGCACACTGTAGGCTGAGCCAGCCGCACTTGTGCTCCAGTGGCATATCAGCTGATATGCAAGGTGGCAGGCAAGAGCTCCATGTTAGAATCTTTCAAGTAGTTAGGAGAACAGCTTCAACCCAAGGAAATGTGCCACATATTGGGCTTCTAACCAGTCCCACAAAGGACCAGCATGTAGACGAATTGCACAGAAGGGGAAGACATGTAATTATAAATTTGATCTATGGTGGCATCTGCTTCTTCAATTACCTGCTTCTCCTCCTATCACATAACTCTCTTGTCTGTAAGAACTGTACACATGGACTTAATAATGTATAAACCCAAACCTGATCACATGTCAGGCAACATAAATGTGGTCCTTAGACCATTCATTGCAACACTAACCTATCAATTTGGCGTCCTTGCACTACCATTGCTTCTAGTAGGAAAATCCCCTTGCTTCTCCAGCACATTGTCAGCCCCAGCCCTTGGTGGGGCACTAATTGGTAGAGATGAGTCCCAGAGCCCTGTGGGAGTTAAGAGGGTGGAGGATGATATGTTTCACGCAACAAGAATGTGATGTGAGACTGTGACGGTGGACAGCCTCAAATGGGAATCCAGAAGCCGGAGGGAAAATGAGTCTATTTCCTCTGGTTAGCTTCAAGGATGTAGATTTGATGCAATGTCCTGAATATTTTCAACAGTCTTTTCTGTGTTTCCAGGTATACTACACACAGGTGTGGGGTTGAAATAAACACTTTTTGATGTGCTGACAGGACGGAACCTACAAGCCAGAAGAGGGCAGCATGCAAACTCTGAAAACTTTGATGCCTCTTCTGCATGTGCTTATACTAATTTCCCAATGGCTACAAACTGCCTGATCGAGCTTATGTACCCTTCTCCTTCTGGAAAACACAGTGTAGAATCTTAAAAAGAGACATGTCATCCAGAGGGATTCTTTTTTTGCTAGCTTTCTTTCAGAATTGGAGTTGCCAGAAATAAGGAGAACAATCTTATTTAATAGGGAGCTCAGCTTCTGTTTCTTTTGTTAACTTCACTTTTTGATGCTAATCAAGCAATCTTTATACTATTAGGAGATGAAAGAATGGGAAACCAAATACAAAAAAGAAAGAAAAAGGGAAGGTAGGGGTTCTCTGAGGCTTTGCCAAAACAAATAGTTCTTTGTTTGTTTGTTTGTTTGTTGCTGCTTTATCAGCAAAACCAACCATTACTGTAAGTGTGTCTCAAGTGTAAGCTCAAGGCCTCTGCATAATCAGGGATACTTTTGGAAGGTGGCCTTTTAAAGCTAGAGATGTGAAATAAGCTGCTTCAGTGACGGACAGAATCAAACCCATGCTAACAAAACTAAGACTCAAGTATCTACCTCTAAGTCCAGAAATGGTTAAACACCTGGCCTTTTCCTAATCATTGTCTAATTCCCAGCGATTGGAGTTAGAACCAGAAGCAGCAGTGGAGGCTCTGGGTCTTAGACTAGAGATCATAAATCTTATATTATTCTTCAGTCTCTGAGCTTAGTCCTTTTTGTGTTGTTTCTATCTTTGGAGATGACTCTGAAGGAACAAGGTCCAGAAGTTCATAAAAGAAAGAGTTCACCATTCTTACAGGATGTGATTGACATTGGTGAAACCTAAGTGTCCAGGTGTCCTCATTTGGTGTCATTTAGCAGGTTAGAGATGTTAGCCTCAGGGGATTCTGTCTCTTCGCTCTCTTGTCATCTACTGTACAACTCACTACTGCATGTGAGAGGTGAGAAGAAAGCTCAGAGTGGGGTTTTAGACCCCACACTGAAGATCACAGAGAAGCCTCATTCTGGGAAAGCTGTGCTTCTCTATGAGTGAGAAGGCCTGGGGTAAGGATAGATGCCTCAGTGAAAGGAAAGCCAAGGTGTTTTTGTCAAGAAAGCATGGCTCCAAGCTCATAGGATGGAATATAAGAGGCTCAGGGAACTGATCATGTGGGCACCTATATCTTCTCTTCTCTAGGGCCACTGCACTCTGCTCAAGGTGGGTTGCCCTGAATCAAAGAAATGGGTTTTCAAGGACAAGATTGAAATTCTTTGGTGTCTGGGAGACAAGTGATGTCATTGTGTGTTTCTGTTCTCCCGTGCTTTTAGCTGTATTGGTTTTTGACATAGTCCTACTTGCTCTCTGGAACTGTGTAATGCCTCAATGCTGAAGCTCCATGGAAGGATTGGTTTATTTGGGGTCCTCCTGGAACCAAATACACTGTTGCAAGAGTGGGGGATAGCAAGGAAAAGAGAAAGGACTAAGTCCAGACACTGGAGAGTAATTTATAACCTCTGGTTTAAGACCCAGAACCCCTCTGCTGCTTCCAGTTCACTGTGGCTCAGCAACCCCCACACCAACTCCTTTTAGATAGTCAAATAAACCACAGTTCATTCCTCCCTTCTAAAGATTACTTTGAAATTAAAAAAAAAATCTATGGTAAGAGAATTCTGGCTGGAACCCTAGTAAAAAGACATATTTATGCAAATAGTTCAATTAAAAGCTGTTTATGAATTTTTATGCAAGGGAATCAGAAGGAAAAGAAATGCATAGCTTTAAGAAAGTTCTCTAAAGGGGAAAGTTTTGAAGAACTCAAGGCCAACAACACAAATATTCTCAAATGTGACTTTCATGGTATGGGTTAGTAGAGATTCCCAGCAGAGTGTT